CCTCTTCTGAGGAGTGATCGCTGGGTATTGCATTGAAGTGATCCATATTAATTATAAACTTAGGACCCCCATCCCTTTATTTGCTTTCATCTTTTCTTGTAAAATTATTCAAATCTCTTTTTTTTTATTTCTGCCCTCTCTATATACTTTCAAAAGTTTTCAACCTAATTGCAATGTTATATGCGAGTCCTTATTTGAGCTTTGATTGTTTACTTGTAAAGTCACAATTGCAACATGGTCGGGAACCACACTAGTGGATCTTGAGGGGTGCCTAACACCTTCCCCTCGAGATAATTTCTAGCCCTTACCCGAACTCTGGTTTTCCAACTCAAACTCTTCTAAAAAAGTGTCCTAATGCACTATAATCATTAGGTGGCGACTCTTCAACTTCTAAACCCAATTCTCGAAAGGGAATAGAGTTGTCCTCCCAATGTCGTATACCCGATTTCTGACCCCACGGTTAGAGAAAAAAAGGGGGCGTCGACAGTCTTGAGGGTATGAAACCCCAGATTTTACATCGTTGTGCTACTTTGAGGTGACGCACACACTAGATGACGAGCGTGGGGTCGTGCACCATTGGAAATTGTGACTTGGTTCGTCCCGTACGACTGTTAAGTCGCGTATTTGATTAAAACTTGTTGGATATCATTGTGTTTTGGAAATTGTTACCATGTTTTAGGCTGAATGCTATATTTGGGCCTTGTGCCAACTATTTTGGATCCTTAGGGACTTTTTACTGCTATTCCTCACTGTTTGACTTAATATTTGTACTCTGTCATGTTGAATTCTACTGTTTTTATAACTCAGCCGTATTTACTTCGTTTTGATATTTTTAAATGATATTTTGGGCTGAGTATCATGTTTTACTGTTGCCTGAGTGGCTTGCGATATTTCTGACTGAGTGAAGTCGAGGGCCTGTATTGTGAGGACATTATGGTATCAGTCTGCACGCCGCAGCATGTGCACTGATTTGTGATATATGAGAGGCCGAGGGCCTGATTTGTTATGCCACGAGATGGCTTGTGATAGCGTTTGGGTCGTAGGAGCCCCTCCGGAGTCTGAACACCCCCAATGAGTACGGGTACCCAATGTGAGAGATGTGATATTGCCCGAGGGGCTGTTGTTGTTTCATGTTGTTGCCCGAGGGGTTGATTACGAGTGATTATGAGGTAGCCCGAAGGGCGGTTGTGGTACATATTTTGCCCGAGGGGATGTTTACGTTTCTATCCTTTTACAATACCTTGTGCCGAACTCATATCATGTTGCCTCAGTGCATACCGAGATCGGGGAGTATGTTGCGCCTTTCAGGAGGTACTTCTTCTTCCACCGAGTTACCAACATTTTTAGTTACTTTTTCTTGTACTGGAGGAAGATATGCACCTTTCCACCCGCGATATGGATGTGAATTCATGTGTCCAAACAACGCTTTAATGAATGAAACTCTCTTTCACACACCACGACGCAACGTCTTTTCTCGGCGGAGAAACATACTGAGGAGGAGGATCCGCGGGTAAGGGTGCAACCACCAGCGGAGGCGTAATCGGCCTCATGTTACGGGGTTGGTTGGCTGCACCCACGGATCGTCCAGCTGCTGACGGTACTTCCCCCGCGGCCAACATGCTTCTCTTGTAGTATTTTGGGAGCGAGTTCTTTTTTAGGTTTTGGACGAGCATGTTGTTTTGCTCTCCAATTTGAAGATCCTCTGTTGTAGCGTTTTGGTCCTTTTCAGCCTAATTAAAAGAATGTACATTAGCTTGTTACATATATTATTAATTTGGAGAAAATGGCTCACTTTAGAATTTTAAAAAATTAACTAATCGTCATTAATGGTAAAATAATGATGAAATTACTAGAGCACTTTGATCTGTGGGCACCAGAAAGGAACCAAAATCAGCAAATGTTGAATCAAGCATGTTTTGGTAGACCAAGTTCACGTAACAATAACTCCAACATGGACCTGTAAAAAGAAAAGGAATATTAGAATGAAGGTATCAATCAAGAGAATCTAATTAATAAAAATAAAATAAAATCAAAGTAAGGAAATATAAAATAAAAAGTTACTTTTAATCTTTGGAAATATTTTCCAAAAGATTTTATAATTCAAAATGAGGAATGCCGCCTAATATGTGGAATCTTTGGATAATCTCTCCTTTGTTGTCTATATTCTTGCTCAACAGTTTCTCTCTGCAATCATTCCATAAAAAATGGAAAATTAAAAACATATTATCTTTAAGAAATAAATTAGAAACATGTTACTTACCTGTTATAAACCATTACATATACAAATATACTGATAACTAAAAATTAAAAAAATAAATGGTTAAATTATTGAAAATAAATTAAGGATGAGATATACTTGAAGGAGAAGATTATTGACGCAACTATCTTGTCATTTTTCGATGTGCATAGTTAGGCTGCATTTATTTAAATAAAAAAATTAGCTATTTCCATATAAAAAGAAGCTCATATTTACGTTAACAACTCAAGGATCCAAGATTATGGTGTCACAAAGGTCTATTTCCAACAATTTTTTCATGTGTGTGCAAATGAAAAGCGACTCTGATTTCTAATAGAGATATTTGTTGAGAAAAAATTGCAAATAAAACTCGCATTTCTTTAACAAGCTAAACTTTTGAATCCGGCAAAAAACTATATGATATACGGTTCATTTCTTTGCTAAACCAAAGATTTGAAACCTTCATCTATTAAATACACAATTTTATGCAAATATTTTTTTATAAAAAATCCCTGTTTAAAAAAATATATATAACTACTACCTGCAAATAACGGAGGCTTCCTGAAACATAACGTTATAGATCTGATAGGCATAATAGCTAGGAACTTGTGAAATCTTCTCATAATGACTTCCAGAATTATCACAACTTCGGAACCTAATTAAGGCATATAAAAACATATTAGAATCATTTAGATAAGCGAGTGCAAAGTCCATTTTTTTAAATTAAATATCTTAAGTTTAATACATATATGATTATTAAGGTATTATCTCTAAATAATTCAGATTGTTTATTTTTCAACATGAATATATATATATATATATATATATATAATTTAGCTTATTAATACATTAATAAATACAAAATTAAAATAAAATAACAAGTTATATATTATATCTATAAAAATTAAAAAATTATTCACATGGTTTGTTATAAAACTATTATTTGCTATTAATGAAGTGCACTTTAAATTCCAGCAACGATGGCAGTTGGAGGGGGGATAGTCAACTGTAAAGTTGTGAGAAGGTGCTTGGTAGTGGTCGTGGACAACTAGCGATGGTGTTTGTGCAATAGTGATCGGTAGTGACTAGCTATGGAAGTGGTTGGTGGTTGTGGCTCTGCGATGAATGTTAGTGGCAGAGATGGTTGTTGATGGTGGTGGTGGTGGTTGCCGATGATAATTTAGCTTGGGAATAGTAGATAGAGTATTTATAAAAGGACACATTTACATGTATATTTAACATCATCTCTCTTTTGATGTTTTCAAGAGTTTATACAATCTAAACCGATCAACTGAACGATTACAGAACATAAATAAAAGCTAGAGAAATTGACTTACATTGTTAAATCAAAGAATCAAGAGAGAGAAGCAGAGAATCACAACTTCACATACGTTCATTTAGAAAAGCTTACAATTGAGTATATTATTGAGCGTACACATGCATCTTATATATAATGCTCGAAATTTAGTTCTACTTTTTCACTAGATTTTTCTGGATTTTATCATATGAATGCCGATAGAATAAAGTTAAATTTTAACAGCTTGGCATCCCAATTTCGTATTTCAAAATTGGTAAGAAGATCTGTTTTAAAATGATATTTTAAATTACCTTCACAATTGGAGAGGATATAATCTCTATATATATATATATATGCGCGCGCGTATTTGGAACATTTTTAGAAAAAAAGTACTATATATTAAATGGTGCATTTGTTACTTTTAAATTCAAGATTTGACTCCAATCAACAATATTTATCATACCTAAGCACACACTAGGAGTGTTAGTGATTCTTTGAAAACCGATTGAATCGAAGCTTATCGTGCAATTTTTAGGTTTTTCTTAATAAAATACTCCTAATAGATTTTGATATACTCTACTTGTCGTCACACTCGCACATGCCTTAGTGGCTTGTTTTATCATCTATCTACTTTAAAGCAACTCCAGCATTAGAGGAGTGCCTTATTGGACTGGATTTGTCGAGATGAGAGAGATGAAACATATTTTGCAAGGTTACATGGTCGATCAATACAAGAGTTGTCCATGTGATAGCCGTAGTATAGTCATTCATTTCAGGACAATAAGGTTATGCATTGTCTATTTATTTTAGATATAAGGGGCAATTTCCGAAATGTCCTGAGACAGGACTAGGGCACCACTAGTAGAAGGGAAGGGTAGTCTAAGTCGACTACGATGCACGATGGATCTTTCATCTTCACTTTGTTCATTATAAAACGATTGAATTAACTTTTACACTACTCGTAACTTTAATTTGTAGTAGGTTAAAATTGTCTTATTATGATAGATATCTGTAGATGACCTTGTAGTGTGAAAAATTCTCTTACATTGTCAAAACTCATAAAAGAACAGAGAAAAACCTACAAACTGGGAGCATAGTTGAACTCGTAAAAGAATAGAGGAAAACTTATAAACTGAGAGCATTTACATTGAGACTTGAGAGGGAGGGTGATCCTAATTCCTACTTTTTTTTTGCCCTTTTTGCTTTTTGGCACTTCATTATTTGACCTCATTCCTACTCTATAGTTATTTCCAATATAGTGGTAAGTCTGGGTTTCTTGAATCTCTTTAGATACAGAGAAGAACACACAACACTTAGAGATGACATTGCCATTCATGCACCAGCTACCCAAGGTGGCAACTCCAGTCTTACAAAGGAAAGAAAACCCGTCCTAGCTAGGTACAAATCCTGGACCTCCTTTAAATCATGTGATTGTTGCAGTGCTTAGCCTAAAGAAACAAAGCAAATTTGTGAAGCTGGGCCGAGGACACAGCACATTTAGCTCTTATTATAAATCCAAGCTCAAACTGTTATTGATATGTGGTTCAATCACAAGATCTATCATATAAATTAAGTCATCTATATCTTTTTCTTCTTTCCTTTCTATAGCACCGCACTATGAGGTGATCAGAAGAACTGACAAGGAAGCGTAAATCAACCAAAATAAACAATCTGCCTATATGTTTCATTTGTCTATTTTCCACACACCCTTGTTTGGATTTGAATGAGTAATCCTAACTACTTTATGTTTTGGTTGCCGCCGTTTCTTGTTGACATATTGTTGAGAACCAGTATCTACTTTTACCATATCAACTTTTACTATGTGGTGATCAGAAGTTCCTTTTGAGGAGAAAACTGAGTATGAGCCTGGAACAAAGTTATATGGTGAATCCGATGATGAGAGTATGTAATCCACTCGTGTTCCATACTTGCACGTTCCCTGCACACCTGTAAAATTTTCACAAAATTTGAGCCAACAACAGAAAAACGATTGTCATATAAATTGAAACAGAGGGAGCATCTTAAATTATGAGTATTACTTTTGTTTCATTAACAAGAGAATGAAGAGTTGCTTACTCTGTCCTTTGGCAATCATGACAACAGACTCGCATTCCCCAGCAAAATCCTTAGCATCAGTATATTCTTTACTCTTCAAATGCTTCATTATCTCAACTTTTGGTGTTGGTTTTCCCATTTCTTCATAATACTGGAAAGTGATTATTCAAATTGAATAAGGAAAGAAGCAAACACCATATAAATTGATTTTTTTCTTAACTAAGACGTGATTTATAGTGCACCTTTACTATATCTGTCCATCTTTCAGGAGAGTAATCTGTTTCGTCTAGAGAATTTAATCCCCCGGCTAAAATGTGTGGCTTATCAGAGGATTGGATTATTGCATTAATCTGCTTCATACGCCAATTTTCATCCAAGTGATCAAGGTGAGTGCAGTAGAAATTGAATTCTCCAACTCGAGGAACATCAATTGTGGCCTTCAGAACATTTCTGCATTCACATATATCTTTGTTAAAATAAATCAAGTGCTTTATGCTTAAGTGCATTTTGATTACCATAATTGCATTTTACTGTATAAATATCATTCTTAGATTCACTCAACCACTTGTAATACACGAGCTAGTAACTTGATATCCATATTGCGTACTTAAGAAACATATGACTTTACCAGAGGTTCAACACCAGATAACTGAGTTATAACTGATAAAAAGCTGGGTTTTAGTGGTCACTTCTGATAAAGATTATACTTCATACGTATTAAATGATAAATTCTACGGATGCGCTTCATCAGTCAGGCTAAAACTTTTATAGTTCCTGAAATTTTGAAGTAAATGATAAATTCTTTCTGAAATTTATTAATTCATTTATTTTTACGGCTGGCATAAGTTTGTCATGACATAGAAAATGCAGTAAGGTAAAACATGAATCACACATAAAGTACTTTGGGAATTAACTACGAAGTAAGTAGCAACTAATACAAATTTCCTGGAGTATAAGGTGCAGGAAAATACAACCATGACAAAATTGTTTTGGGGGGGAGGGGGGATCCTAATGAGTAATGACAATGGTGCTTTCCGCAGTTCCAGCATTGAATTAGCAATTTATTCAATGAAAAGGGAAAATAAACGAAAAAACATAACTGTTTGTTTCATAATAATATAGTGTATTTGTATGATTGAAAATCTGGGAGCTGAGTTAGGAAAAACAAAAGTGCAAACCTATGAAATAAGGAAAACAGCGTTAGCACTTTCGGTTTAACCTATACGCATTGATAGTGTAAAAATATCACACTTGATTGGTAACCTGGTAAACTGATAACTAACCCGTTAGCACATAGTATTATATTCCATAAATAAAACAATCAGAGTATATGACTTAAGAAGTTGATCGTATGAAGGATTGAGAAATGATTAAGAACCTGAAATCGGAGTCATCAAAAATCTTTTGTATCTTCCAAGACTTAATGGGCCACTTTGACAAAATAGCATTACCATACTCAGGCGCCCAGCTCTCTGCAAATACATAATTCATCCCTAAAGCAGCAGCCAAATCCGACAACGGCTTCATACCTTTCTCCTCCTCTGCTTTAACATCTTGTAAGGCCAAAACATCAGCATTCAACTCTCTCAAAACTTCAACAACACTTCTTCTACTTGTATAACTCTGACCATCTATACGTGGCATACTTACAGTAGACCTTATAGGAGCTTTTCCCCTGCATATATTACTTCCCAAAAACCTCTCACTATCACTATCACATCCCAAAAAGCTTAATCGCCCACTTTTCTTCAAAGATATTTCATTATCTGGTAAATTTATCGACACCCTTAACTTTGATTTAGCAAAAGCTTGCTTCTTTAATAGAGTATCAGCTTCTTTACTAGGATGCAGAGGAGATTGTTTGAGGATACTCTTAGGACGATCATTTGTTGATTTTGCTCTTAAATTATCGGAGTAATAATCATCATTTTCAAAGTCAAAGCTAGCTGACCTGTCAATCTTCTTGGGAAGTGCCGGTGCCATAGAGAAAAGGGCAGCATTGAATGTAGCTACACGTATTGTACGTCCAGATTTAGAACGACCCAATTCATGCCCATTTGTGGGATGGATCAGTGCAGACCCATTTGCATTAGCTGCTTCTTTATCTGATTCAACCTGAGAATTAGATTTTCCTAGCTGTTTGACAGTAATCTTCATCTTGGTCTTTGAACGGCGGCGTATAGGCCATCTTAGACTAAAACAAAACTTCTTCAGCTTTTGGTTGACAACTCTTAGCATGACCAATTAAGAAATGGGAATGAATAGAGAGAGTTGACGGAAGCTGCTTTGGCGAGACCCTCCTTCCAAATGAATGTATTTTTGTCTTTAAATAGTGGCATGAAATATAAATGACTAGTAATAGTATTGTGACCACAAGTGGCGGGATGGTTGGGTCCCTTAATCTTTAATTAGACGTGTCGAATGGGTCTATAAACAGCGAATTAACACGGCCAGTAAATCTTTAGACAGTGATTATCAGTATCAAAAGAGAATAGTTTATGAGGAGTTTGGTTGTGAGTAGAGTTGGAGGAACAGAAGGAGTCTTACTGTTGGTGATAATTGGCAGGTATTTTTAGGGCTCTCTGTTTTAGCACAAAAATTTCTTCTCTCTTTCTGTAAAGGGAGCACTATTGGAAGGCAAATATGACTCTATATGAGGAGAGTGAGGTGGGGGCGGTAACTGCCCCGAGAGGATAGTGGGTGAGAGAACAGGGCGTTTATTGGACAATAGAGATATGTCTCTTTAGATTTTTGATTAAACAATTGGAATATAAAAACAAGAATGATTAGAATATGTTCTGAATAACTCAACTACTCCCTCCTAATCCAGTCGTCATATCTTCATTTTTTAAATCATCATTTGGTGTATACTACTCAAATGTCCATGTTATTTAACTTCTTTTCTTGATGTACTCATGGTAATTACCCAGGGGCGGAGCTACTATTTCAGCCTTATGAGTTCGGGATTATAATTTTTTAAAATTATTGGGTTATAAATTAATAATTTGTATATATTTATTAGGTTTTCATATACAAATACACGGTGTGAACAAAAACTACTGAATTTAGCCGAACCCGCAACTAACATTGCCCCTGTAATTATCCGTGTCAAAATGGTCTAACAAGATTTATATATATAATTAATAAAGAGAGTGAAAATCATAGGAAGACATAATTTAATTCTTAACAGAATAGCTATTTTTTTTCTTATATGCCTTAATTTTGGTGGAAAAGTTCAATTTGTGTACAAGCTAACTCAGACATCATCCTGATAAAGTAAAAGTCTAACAAGTTATAATTATAAAATCAAATTATTATACCTATAATTAGCACGTCATACAATTACCAAATGCTTACACATATTTATATTGGATCTGTACCCGTGAAATAATCCATATGAGGTCAATATATTTAACTTACAATTCCAGTTACTACTATATTGGTGAGTCAAGACAGACAGTCAATACAAATCAGAATGCAACAGCGAGGAATGGTTTTCTTGCTGGGAAAGCCACGTCACCCAAAACCCGGCGGGCACTACTCCCAGTGCATTAGAGAAATATATCAAGACCATCTCTTATAAGAAAAAAGGAAATGTTATAAATATATTATATTATAGATATTCATTTAGTACTCCGTTGTAAATAATCTTCCTGAAAAAGCTTATTCATATGGGACTTCACCGTAAATACGTTTATCCATTTAGTACTCTATTAGAAATAAACTTCCTGAAGAAGCTTATCACTTCGGTACCCGGTTATGGATAAACATAACTCTCAGTAGAAGATTATCCATATCTGGTATAGTAGCAGCTTACACAGCAGCTTGCAGTAGCAGCTTACACAGCAGCTTGCAGTAGCAGCTTACACAGCAGCTTGCAATAGCAACTTACACAACAACTTGTAGTAGCAGCTTACACAACAGCTTGCATAACAGCTTACACAGCAACTTCCTTTCTTCTATAAATAGAAGAGATTTCAGTTCATTATGTACATCAGTTTGAATTCGNATAGCAACTTACACAACAACTTGTAGTAGCAGCTTACACAACAGCTTGCATAACAGCTTACACAGCAACTTCCTTTCTTCTATAAATAGAAGAGATTTCAGTTCATTATGTAC